CCTTCACTGTAGTTTGGAGAACTAGGCTGTTGCATTGAAATCCATGCTGTTTTGCAAATTGGAGATGAAATGCTGCTTGTAATTCTGGACCAAAATTAGGGGCTCTGTGCTGTGATGGAGGAGGCAGTGTTTACCACCCCAGTACCCAGGGCTGGAGCTGGGCCGGGGTCCTGGGATGAGAACAGCATTTCAATATTCAGTTACAAGCTGTTATCCCGTAGAGTAAGAAAGTCACAAACCATGTAATCAGCAAAATATTAAAGGTGTATACAGATGTAGCAAGCCCGATTCTTCTTCTACCCAAAGACGCGCAGTTTGTTTCTGAATCAAGAGCTCTACTATGCAGTGTAAAGATTTTGCTAAGTGGAGAGGGTACAGATCTTTATACATTTCAGCGCTTGCAGTTGCTTATGAAGGCAGTTCCAAGGATACAGTTATGCAGTTATGCCTCAATCCATGCAAGGATTTTTCTATTTGCAAACACAAAACAACAAAAAAAAACAAACAAAAAACCAAACCCACCAGCTTTCTGTGGGTTGTTGAAACATAATTATTTAATTCAAAAGAGAGGGAAAGAAAGAAAACAAAGCAGCAATCTTTCCACAGGGCCTAGCATGCAGATTTTTCCACCCTGATAGAAAACAAACTTGTGTTATATATAGGTTCAAATTTCTGTCCTCATGTCTTTTTCCTTTCTGGAACACTCCAGCTCAGGTGAGCTGATCTGAGCCAGATCCAGTGATACCGAAGAGCAAACCTTCTTCAACACATCTTTCTCTGGCCATGGGATATGCACGTTTAATTTGCCACTTAAGGGCATTGTAGAAGTGAATAATAAATATGGACTTTGAGAATTGTGATGAAAACAGCATTTTGTAGGAGGAAGTAATGGAAAAGATATGAAGGAGGGTGAAAAACAGAGCCTCAACACATCCTGAAGTAACAGGAGGTTGAAGAGAAGAGGTAGCCTAAGGGACCAGACATTCAGGTCTCCCTCCATAAAATGAAATGCAAAGTATTTTTTTACAGTATTTAATTCAACCACTGAAAATAACAACTGCCTGACAACAACAGCTGTGAACAAAGAAACATTAAAATAATCAGTGTGGTATTTTTTGTCACTGTTTCAACATCATCACTTTCACATCCAGTACAGATGCCCTGGGACATAAAAAGGTACTTCTTCCTGCTAGGTAATCTACAAATCATTCAACCAAACAAATCAATCGATCGGCAATGGCTATTCCTACTGTTTCATTGAGTGAAGAGGCTTATCATGAGATTAATGTTATTTTAACAAGCTCACTGGCAAACAGTCAATCATCTGGGCTTCCTCTACAGTCCACACAGAGAGGACACTGGATTTTAAAGATGTCCTTAATCATTCAGGTACAGGCTGCAAGCTCTAACTTTGCATATTTATAGGAATAACAGTGTTAAGTGCAGTGATTTAAACCAGTATAAAGAGTAATTAGTAGATATTTGCAAGTAAACTGTTCCTCTCATATCTGCTTGGCAGGTCTCTTGACTGATATTAGCATAATGACTTCTGATCAGAGAATAGTTGTTCCTGCTGGTATAATATATAAACTAGGATTAGTAATGGGAAATGCAGAGCAGAATTCCCCCACAGGTCATACAAAATTTTGTGCCTGCACTAGAGAGCTCATATTACAAAAGTTAGCATGGTAAACATAACTAGAATGGCTTTCAAAACAAGAGTTAATACTGTCATACCAAGGAATTATTTTACAATTGCTTCAAAAATTAAGAAGAAATATAAATTCCAAGGTAGTAAGTTGTCAGAGGGGAGAAATAAAATCCTATTTTATGAAGTTCAGATTTGTCACAAGATAAAAATTAGAGCTAGAAAGAGTAACAGAATTCCCTTCCCCACTATTTCCCCACACACTTACAGATTTAATAAAAATACAGTGAAGACAAATTGTAACTTGGATTAGACAGAAAAATACTGGGCAATTTTATTTTTTACTGTGTTTTTATATTACCTTGGAAATATACTGGAAAACAGAAATGGTGAAGTCATGATATTTCTGAAATTCATTGTAAGATTTAAATTGCTGTGAGATTTCCACTCTAATGTCAAGCAGCTAATAAAGGAAGATGACAACTGGTCAACTTATGTAGTCATTGAAAGGAAAAGAACAAGCATATTAGCAATACTTACATTTTATTTTTCATTATTCTTTGAGGACTGTGCAAGCACAGAAAAAAGAATAACGGGACTTGAATTCTGAATGGTAGATTTATAGCAAAACATGTATCTGTATTTACGCAAAACATAAATTCTTAAGAGGAGTGTGGGAAATAAATAGTAATATGTCTCTGTTACATTGACAAAACTCAGAAAACTTGTTAGTAAACTCTTCTTTAGATTTGCAGTTAGTAAAAACTCGTGTCATGAGGCTAAGACAAAGCAATCAATTGCATTTCCAAGATTAGTCAAGAAATACATGCTTTGAAATGTTGTTTGCGTATCAGATACATAGAATACATTCTATCTCAGTAGAATCAAAATGAATTGAATCAAACCTAATCAAATTGAATTCAATATTAGTAACTTGATCTCCTTTTACAAAAAGGTCAACAATGTAGTGGATGAAGGGATGGTGGTGGATGTAATCTTTCTGGATTTTATTAAGGCCTTTGATGCTGTCCAGTACAGAATCCTTCTGGACATATTTTCTGGATGCAAGTGAAAAAGGTCCATGCTAAACTCTGTATTGAACTGGCTCAAAGTGTCATAGTGAATGGGACTCCATCTCTCTGGTGGACAGTTACTACTGATATTCCCCAAGGTTCAGTTAAAGGGCCAGTTCTCTTCAGCTTTTTTATTGATGATCTGATTGCAAGAGCTGAATGCATCCTTCACTCAGTGCTCTACTCAGCACTGAGGTGATGCTGAGGTGGTGTCCAGATACATGGTGTCTAGTTCTGGGCACCCCAGTACAAGATAGACATGGACATACTGGATAGAGTCCAATAAAAGGCCACTGGAGTGATTAACAGATTGGATTACCTCTTCTTTGAGAAGAGGTTGAGAGAGTTGGGACTCTTTGGTGAAGTGAAGTCTCAGGAGGGATTTTATCTAAGTCAGTCCCTGAAGAGACAGTGCAAAGAAGACAGAGCAAGGTTCTTTTCAATGGTACCCAATGCCAGGGCAAGAGGCAATGGGTACAAACTTGCTCAGATGGAAATCTGCGAAGATATGAATATACTGATATATGAATATATGAATATATTGAGATTTGAATAACTTAATTTTGCTCAAGTTGAATAATTTAACTTTGGGAAAATCATACAAAAAAGCTCAGGATTAGAAGCTGACTGTATTCTTTAATTACACCTGAATGAGCATTAGTTGGATTTTGGTCATCCGGAGTCTTTAAATTTGGCCAAATGTTGCGTTGCTTGGTGGCTCATATCTTACAAATTATGATGCATTTAATTTAAGATGATCCTGAGAAATACTTGATAGCTTGTTTTATATTAGAAAAGCATTGCACAAACCAGACCAAATCTCAAAGAAGCATATAGAGATGTAGAGTGAAAGTAATATTTATTCCTCTCTCCTAGATTCTAAACTGCTCCTTAGACACCCACAGAAATCTCCAGCACTCAGCATATCCTACCACATAAGGTTTCTGGGGTGCCAAACCAGGAAGAACTTCACAAATTCTGCACAACAGGAATCAATCAGTGCAAGAACAGAGAGCATGCAGTGTCATGCTCCAACTGAGGGACAAGACTAGACTTGTTCCAGTTTTTTCAACAGGAAAAAATAGATGGGGATGATTTGGCAATAGCAGTGGGTACAAATGCATGTATCATTGGTGCGATTATTGGGGAAAACCATGCAAGAGTCCAGGTGAGGACAAAAGACGTAAAAGAGCAACAGAGCTGTTTCCTAATACATAGTTGTGTGGTCTAGTTCATGACTGTGGCATAAGTACTGCTACCTCTTACACTCATACTAAATTATGTCTAAGCAGATGTAAGTCTGCACAATTGCACTTGGGACTTGTTTGCACACTGCTATTGAAACACGTGATTTAACATATGTGATCAGATATGTAACTTATATGATCAGAGGGCTGGATCCTGTGAGAAAAGGTTGAGGGAACAGGGATTACTTAGCTTGAAAAAGAGAAGCTCTGGGGAGATCTCATTGTGGCTTTCCAGTACTTGAAGGGAGTGCATAAACAGGAAGGAGAATGGCTGTTTACAAGGGTGGACAGTGATAGGACAAGGGGGGATGGTTTTAAACTGAGACAGGGGAGGTTTAGGTTAGATATTAGGAGGAAGTTTTTCACACAGAGGGTGGTGACGCACTGGAACAGGTTGCCCAAGGAGGCTGTGGATGCCCCATCACCTCAGGCGTTTAAGGCCAGGCTGGATGTGGCTCTGGGCAGCCTGGTCTGGTGGTTGGCGACCCTTCACATAGCAGGGGGGTTGAAACCAGATGATCATTATGGCCCTTTTCAACTTAGGCCATTCTATGATTCTGTATGTGAAACTGCCACCCTCAGGCGCTATATTCTTTAGGTGTACTCCTATCAGATACATATCATAATCAGGGTCATGGGCCAATCTGTGAGGAAGAAATGCTGCAGTATGAAGTTAAATACTTTGTTTAGTACTTTACAACCAAACTCCAAGTTCTTCTCCACCACATCTTGGCAGCTGCATCACAGTATTTATTTACATCACTCTGTCTCCTAGGCTAACTTACTCCGAAAAAAAACCTTCTAATTGTTCCTCACAAATGTTTATCCTTTCTTGAACCAAGATATCACATACCTCTTAGGGCACGGATTAGGAACAGGTACACTAAGAACATCATGACATTGGGTGTTTTGATTTTAGGAACTGGCAGACTCTTTATCCTCCCATTAGTTTCAGCCATTATAATTTACTGATTTTTAGGAAAAAAAAAAAAAAAAACAAAACCAAAAATTAAACAACTTTAGGAAAAAATACTTTTTGATCACATAAAGTTTATTTACCTAATACAGCTATATTACAATATATACAGTTTCTATTTACATAAACTTCTTTCTAGTAAGTGAAGCACCATCTGATACAGTTAGTATTTTAAAGGAATTTACAGAAATTTTATTTTTGCATACACCTACTTATATCTACAGACAGACATTGGTTAGAACCAAGCTCTCCTAAGACACTTACTTAAGCGGATTTTGGATTAGGCTGCTAATAAAGCTATGAAAGAGAAATTTGTTATCAGCTATCAATCTCCTATGCTTCAAGATACGAGATCTTAGCTATGTCATTTCTGAGGCTATGTGCAAACTAATCTCTCAGAAAAAGTCAAGAGGTACAGACAAAAGATACTTTACAAGCCAAGAGAATGCAGCGCTCTCATCAGTAACATTTTTAATTATCAGAAAGAATTTAACTGTAACAGAAAAAAGAAGGCTGTGTGTTTGTACACGTTGTGCAAAGTGAAGTGAAGAGCATGGAAGCTTTTTGACATATTATCATGCATTCCCCAAGGAATCCATTATTAAAAAGCCCAGTCTTACGGCTACTGAAAATCATGGCATGGTCGCCTACCCTCAGAGAGAAAGACTAGCTGTGGACTTTATAATCATTATGCCACTGTCAAGAAAGAAAAGAAGGCTCTGTCCAAGGTACAAAATTTCCTTCAAGTGAATAAAAGACATTTGAAGGGGTGAAACGTCATGAGGTATTTAGTAAACTACAGGAAAAAAAAGGCACTTACACTGTTTAGAAAAAATCTCAGATATTTTACATATGCAATTATTACATTCACCTGATTGTGGGTCAAGTTTTGTACAAACTACATACCTTTTGGGTCACCTAACCTATACATTTCAAATTTTTGCTTCACTAGACATGGGATCTAGCGGCTGGAAGAAAGCATTGTTACTCTGAGGACAGTTACCATGACAGACACAGGTATTGATCAACATCATTGGCTTTTTTAGGAATTTTCCCTGAGGACAGCGGAACTCAACTTGAATCGTTTTGGTGTTGTGTGGGGTACAGCATCGCCCATCACTGCAGAGGCCACAGTAACGAGGTTTGTAAGTCTGCACACTGGTGCAGTTCTTGTATTCAAAATGAACAGCTTTCATGGACTTCTTTGTTCGGACACATTTTTTCCCTTTCTAAGAGAAAAAGAGAAGATATTAGAGATATCACTGCATAAAAAAGAAAGCAATCAAGAACTGACATGCAAGGATATAAGTCTACTCGGAAAGCTTCCATTTGTTGTCTTTGCTAGATCTACATCAGTAATACTTCGCAGCTACTTCACTAGTTTCTTACCAGTCCTCACTCCTGCAGGAACTCTTCAACACCAGTATGTTATTAGGATAGTAATAAATGACAAATAGTTAAAACTTTCTTTCTTTGTCTGAGACAAGACAAGCTGACGTCCATTATGAAACTCTACTCTAATGGAAAACTTCTCAGGCAACTGTAGCTCAATCAGAGAAAAACAGGAAGACAAACAGCAAGTTACAGAACTAAATTCAGAAAAAGAAGGCTAAAATAAAACCCAGAAGTCCAATTCTTGTTACCCAAGGCAGAACCACTTTTATCCATGTTACTCTTAACAGATGCTTGTCTTACCTGTCCTACGAAGCCTTCACTTCTCTAGGAAGCACAATCCTAATGGTTCACTATGCTTACTACTTGGAAGGTTTTCATACTTTCAATTTTCATGCAGTCTAAATTCACCATATCTCAACGTATCTCCCACAGATTCAGGCTGTAATATCTCAGCACAGTTGTGAAAACTTGCATCATTTCTCTTGCTTGCAGTTAAAGTGCAGTTTAATCAAATTTTCTTCAGAACAGATTTTCTAGACCTCTGACCATTCCTGTTAGTTTCCCCAATCTTTTCCAAATGTTTCACATCCTTTTGAAAACACAGCATTCAAAACTGCATAGAGAATTCAGCAAAGGTCTCAGCAATGCTTTCCAACACAAGAACATTACAAAACAAATGGCCCTCTTCCCTACCTACATTATTCTCACTGGCAGCAAAACTTGTAAAATGTCTAGAAGCAGCTGAGAAGTCAGCTCTCTTAGAAACATATTTATTGCTGTTTAAGTATCAGTGTTGGGTTTGCTTTTGGCAAAACATCAAAAGGATTAAGAAAAGATTTAGTTTACCCAAGTAGATTCACACATTTCTCTGCACTTCTACAAGGGCAAACTAGAAATATGATGTATCCATTCTGCATATGCAATATGTTCGATCTCTCTGGGATGCCTCAAACGATGTGCAGCATGAAGCTATTGAGCATACACGACTAATCTAATGCTTTTGAAAAACAAAGGGCTTGCTGCATATATGCTAAAATATGTATGTATACACACTTCTAGAGCATGCTAGACTGAAATATTGCAGCCTTGGAATTACAGCTGAAGAGATGCTGCTCCTGTCACTGCTCAGAGCATACCTTATCAGATGGCTCTTCATTTTCACAAGGTCTCATCATGCAAAGTCGCGTCTGCTTCACCATCTCACACTGCTGATTTCTGTTGGTAACACGGGTAGAAAAGCCCATTCCACAGCTTTTGGAACAAGCACTCCATTCTGTTGTCTGTTCAATACAATTGGCACTTGAATCAGACACGTCTATCCCAAGTGTGGCCTCCTGTCTGTATGCTAGAAACAAAACGCCATAGAACTTTGTTATTAAGAAAAACTCAAGAAAGCAGAGTATCTAATTGATCTCTACCACATCTGGGATGAAACATGAAACAAATACAGCTAAAAAACCCATAATTCAAGAATTTTAACATCTGCTTGTTCAGTTGTTCTGGGTGGCTAAAGGTCAACATAAAGGTCAACATAAAGGTGCAACAACTATTTAGTCTTCATTCTTTCCAAAGGAAATACATCACAAATTTCTTCTTAAGTTGTCACAAAAATATTTTTAATAGGTATGACTTACGAGAGGTCATATGTTTTATCTAAACTAATAAACAGCAGGGAAGTGAAGTGCTTTAACTCCCACAGTCATAAAGTCACCCAACTTCGTCAGTTATTGACAGATTATTGTGGGAAGGAAGCAGGGAGGAGAGGAGAAAGGGAGGGTGGGAGGGAAATTCCTAGCTGCTCAAAGCCACTGCCAACTCTGATCACTGTTCTGCCCTCACGGATGTGTTAAGCTCCATTCTGCAAACATTGCTAACTGTGGTTGGTTCAGTGGTTATCACAGCAGTAAAGAGAATGAGGAAACATGACTAGGCTAGTCACATGAATATTCCTTTGTCATTCCCAAAGCTTCAGCTGTTAAGCTTCTCTAGAAATGTATTTTCACCTTTTGCAAGGTAAAACTCCAAAAAGGTGTCCTTCTACAATGAATGGCCATCGACACAAAGAATCCACATAATCAGTCGCTAGGTATTTTAAGGACCTAGGGTCAGACCTAGTGCCTGATGTAGTGGTTGGCAACCCTGCCCACAGCAGAGGGTATTGGAACTAGATGATCTTTAGGGTTCCTTCCAATCCAAGCCATTCTATGATTTGCCTGTCACTGTCAAAAAAATAAAAATCAAAGAAAATGAAAGTCAGAAGAGAGATGGCAAGCTTTTCATTTATATCTGATGTGCCTTACATCTGACTCTTCATAGCACTCTGAAGTTACTACTAGAGCTTTTCTTCCTGAATCCTTCCTTAATGTTTTTTCAAATGGATTAGCTGTGTTTCAGCATAAGTAACTCCTTAAGAGCACAAAGGGCAGTGACTGGAAGAGAATGCAGTGCCCTCAAATCTCAATAAAAGTAGCTTATGAAAATTCATGTTGAACTGATAGACTGCTTTTGAGAGAAGGAGGCGTAGATCAGTAAGAAAATAGGCAAAAATATTATGTAGCTTAATTGATTTAAGTTATAAAAGCATTTGATGAGTTCTGTGTTTTGGAATGGGATTTTTTTCCAGATCCACTCATATTTGTAACTACTGCTTCTCCGAGTACTTCAGAAAGCTTTTAATGCCAACAATAATGATGAGAGCTCTAGCACAGACAGACAGGAATTTGCTGGCATTTTAGCTGCCATGCTGACTACTTGTAATAGCTGGGGAATTTGGGGGAGGAAAGTCTTTTACAGACTAAGCTGTAAGAATGGTATTATGATGTAAGATATTCTTCCAGAGCAAATAGCAAGACCACAGTTTTGATTCTGAGGGGAAAATAACGTTTGGAAGGTTATAACCTTGTTCTACTCACAGAACTGCCCTGTACCAGATAAACAGCAATTCCAGAACTGGAAAGTGACTCAGGCTAACTACTCCCCTGTCCCTGGAGACATGCAAGGTATGGCTGTACAGGGCTCTGAGCAACCTGATCTAGCTGTAGGTGTCCCAGTTCACTGCAGGGGAGTTTAAAGGTCGTCCAACTCGTTCATCCTCTGAGTATCTTTTCTTTTACCTGTCAACCTCTGCCTTTCTTCACAACCAGTGGTGTACTTACTGGTCGCTCTAGATGAGAAATAAGAAAAACAAAACAACAACAACAAAAGAAAACAGCACAAAGCAGCCGCATCTCAGACTTTGCAAGCCCCGGGACATTTCCACCGCATCATCCTCTCCTCCTAACAGCTGTGATAATGAGTTTTAGCCCCTCACCAGCCATAGCGAAGCCTCCCAGGAGCACTTCGTCCCTGGGGTCACAGACCCACTTCTCGCAGCACTCTCCGGGGACTTCGATCTTCCTGGGGAAGGGGCAGTCGGGGCCGGGGAGCAGCAGGCCCAGGTTGCAGCGGGGCAGGCACCCGATCTGCCCGTCCCGGCAGGTGCACTGGTACTTGCAGCTGGGCTGGAACGTCTCCCCGTTGCGGTAAATCATCCCGTCGAACACGCAGTTGTCTCCTTCCAGCACTGGTGAGGAAAGCGAGCGGATTTCAGCGGGAGAGCTCGGCCCGCCCCGCCCGTCCCGCCGCACCTACCCATGCAGATGCCGGTGCCGCCGCCGTCCTCGGGGCCGCGGTCGCAGTAGAGGCCGCCGCTCTCGTCGCAGGGCAGCAGAGCGGAGCAGCTCTCGCCGCGCTGCCGGGCGCACACCAGGCAGCAGCCGCAGCCGTCCAGCACGGCGGCCACTCCGGGGGCGCAGCGCGGCGGCTCCGCGGGGCAGCGCCCGCCGCAGGGCCGGGGGCACGCCGCCTCCCGTCCGCTCACCTGCGGGGACAGAGCGGCCCCGAGGGCCTCGGGTCACGGCGCCCGCCCGCCCGCCGGCTCCCGCCCCCCGCGCCCCCCGCACTTGCCTCGCACGGCCGGAGGAGGAGCGGGAGCAGCAGCAGCAGGACGGGCAGGCCCTGCCCGCCGCCCGTCTCCATGGTCCCGGCCGCCGACCCGCCGCGCCGCTCGGCTCTGCCGGCAAAGCCATTGCGGCCGCTTATATAGAGGCCGGCAGGGACCCCCTCCCTTCCCCCCACCCCCTCTCCTCACACGCCCCGCCACCGGCAGCGCGGGACGGAGGCGGGGAGCTGGAGCCGGGCAGGGCGCTGCGCTCCGCTCCTCGATCTGCTCCGCCACCTGCCCGGCGGTGCCGAGCCCTGCCCGCGCCCCGACGCGGCGGCCGGGGCTGAAGCCCTGCCGGTCTGTCCGGCCGGCCGGCACCGTAGGATGGTAGGATCACAGCATCGTTAAGAATGGAAAGACCACGAAGATCATCTGGTCCAACCGTCTGTGCCACATCTAGATGTCTTCTGAACACCTCCGGGGACGATGATTCTACCTCCCTGGGCATACTGTGCCAGTACCTCACCACTTTTTTTGGAGAAGAAATTGATCCTGATATCTGAAACTTAAGGCCATTTCCTCTTGTCCTATCACTGAGAGTAGAGGCTGACCCCCACCTCACCACAACCTTTCAGGGATTTGTAAAGTGCAATAAGGTTTTCCCTGAGCCTCCTCCAGACTGAACAGTCCCAGCTTCCTCAGCTGCTCCCCATAAAACACGTGCTCCAGACCCCTCACCAGCTCACTGCCTTTCTCTGAACACACTCCAGGGCCTTGATGTCTTGTAGTGAGGGACCCAACACTGAACACAGCATTCGAGGTGTGGCCTCACCAGACCTGAGTACAGAGGGATGATCGCTTCCCTGCTTCTGCTGGCAACGCTATTTCTGATACAAGCCAGGATGCCATTTGGCCTTCTTGGTCACCTGGACACACTGCTGGCTCACGTTCAGCTGGCTGTCAGCTATCGCCCTCAGATCCTTTTCCTTCCTTCCCTCAGGACATTGCCCCACAGTCCAGGGCCCGCTTGCCTCCCCACATCGTGTGGGGACCTGTATGGCTGGACCAAGGCCACCAATAAAGGGACATGCATTACAGGGTGGCACCTCTCATCAATGAACTTCATTGAGAACAGTCCTGCGAAGGACTTGGAGGTCCTAGTGGATGAAAAGCTGGACACAAGCAGGCAGTGTGCACTTGCAGCACAGAAGACCAACAGCATCCTGGGCTGCATCTGAAGAGGAACAGCAGCAGGGAGAAGAAGGTGATAGTCCTCGTCTACTCTGCCCTCATGAAGCCCCATCTGGTGTGCTACATTCAGGCCTGGGACCCTATGCACAGAAACTCTTGCAAAGCTGTTGGAGAAGGTACAGAGGAGGGCCATTAAGTTGATCGGAAGGCTGGTGCACCTCTACTATGAAGAAAGGCTGAAGGAGCTGGGCTTGTTTAGCTTGGAGAAGGGAAGATTCTGCAGAGACCTCACAGTGACCTTCCAGTTCTTGAAAGGAGATTATAATCAGGAGAGGGACTTACTTTTATATGGTCTGATAGTGATAGGACAAGGGAGAATAGCTTTAAACTAAAAGAATGGAAATTTAGGTTTGATTTTAGGAAAAAAATCTTTACTCCAAGAATGGTGAGGCACAGGCTGCCCAGGGAAGCTGTGGATGCCCCATCCCTGGAAGTGTTCAATGCCAGGCTGGATGGGGCCCTGAGCAACTTGATATGGTGGGTGGCAGCTCTGCCCACAGCAGAAATCAATGTTCTTTAATGTCTCTTCCAACATATGCCATTCTACCATTCTATGGGAAACTAAATCTGTTAATGTGTCTTCTTTGTCAGGAATTGTCTTCTGCCGTGGTAGCCTTGGGTCTTTCTAGGATACAGATATTCTCTATTCCCGCTTGTCTAAGGCAGATCATAGCAACAGATTCTGTCGTGGCTTGTTAAAGAGAAAATATTTGAAAAACAAACAAGTTGTGGGCAGATCAGTGAAAACAGGATGCCTTTTCAGCTTAAGACATAACACAAGTGGTACACATGAACTTACAAGGCTGATGTAGCTCTAAGCCAAAGCAATACTCAGCACAAAACCAGCAATCATCAGACGCAAGTTTTGTTTTGGACAAGAATTACCATTCCTTCCCTAATGCTGCGTGGCAACAGCTGGGTTTCTGGAGCAGCCTGTTGTCCCCACAGGCAACAGCAAACTTCACCAGCGCAGAGACAAGTCACACTTTGACCATTCATGTTCTTCTTCCTAAACAGCAGAGCCAGCCAAGGGGAACAGAGAACTGCTCAATGCTTATTTACAGCATGGGCGTTATTTCAGTTATCCAGAGCTGCACAGGTCATTTCAATGTATTTTTCTCTTTTTTTTCTCTTGCATTTTGCCTACCACCTCTGATTTAGGCAGTTTGTGTAAAGCCACTTTTTACAGTGCCTTGCTTGTGAACAGAATCACCGATGCTCTTGGCCAAGTATTAATTTTTGCTAAAAAGAAGCATTGCTACTCCTGTAGTTTTCCCAGAAGCAGGGCTATAAGCCAGAGGGGCACATACAAGATCTGTTTTTGCCTGTTCGTCTGATGAGGTTTTCAGTGCCAATGATCATCCACAGCCACTGAAAATTACCTTCCCTTTAAATGAGATTACTTCACTCCTAAAAGGTTTCACCACATAAAATTTTAGAGAGAGTTAAAAAAAAACAGAGAGAGAACATTTACAAGCATACTTAATTCTGAAAAATTAACAGCTTTATGTACCTAATAAATTTATTAAGGTCCCGTGCTCTTATAAAATACCAGTTATAAAATTAAGATGATGCTGCAGTTTAGTGCAGTAGGTCCAAACATTTTTTTTCCAGATATTTCTGCCCCTCCAAAGCATGCTTAATTAGGAGTTTGTTGAAGTTGCCTGTTTTAAGATGCTCCTTCATCTTTCTGACATGATTCTTTTTGTCTGTACTTGTTTTACAACTTTTTTGAGAGTGACATCACATTTTTATCATATGAAAGTGCTCTTTGTTAACATTCTTCAGAGAGTAAAATAATGTTGAGGTGGACAGGTATGTTGCTGGCTCAGCTGACAATGAATAGCCCTTACTCATGCTTTAAAACTGGTAGGTACAAATGAATGAATGGTCTCGTTTCTTTGGGTTTGCTTTTTTGTATGACTATATTCAAGGGGGGTAATATTTGGTTTGCCTCCCTGGCTATGGTTATTGCAAAGAGTAATTCCTCCTAATATGTAAAGAAATCAACCTCTGCTGCTCACTTTGCAGGAAGATATAGCTGATGAACAGCGTTGAGAAGTGTGAGTTCAGGAGCAGAGTCCAGCAATAGAGTTCCAACTCTAAGAATAAACTTAATGACTTTTCCGTGCCAAGGTCGCAGGCAAGGAGAGCCTTGCATGGTACCTAGTAAAAGGACAACAGGTTGGTAATCTGCAGTTTCTAGCTGTTAGGGATATAGCATGCACAGGTATGTAAATCAGTAAGGGGCTGTGCAGAACAAATGCAGAAGTATTTTCTAATCTTAACTCTAAAATTCAGCTTCTGTTGCGGTAAATGCTTAAGCAAGCAAGGTTAGGGGTCTTTGGTTGTACTTTGTGAAGACACGTTGTCAAGACACAACATGCTTTTCATGTCTTGTCTTTCTGGAAGGAGTACAGCTTTCTGGTTTTGTACAGAGAACGTATGCTCAAATTCAGCCACAGCTATGATCTCCCACACTGGTCAATATCAGCCTTTGCAGGCAAAGATTTCTCACTCTGGATTTCCATGTCTGCCTTGTGCTAAATCTCTGGCATGGTTCTCTGGACATGACATTTCACTTAGATCTTTACCTCCATGGAGCTAGTAATGCTAAATATGTCATTTTCACCCAACCTGTTTACTTCTTCAACACCTGATGGTTTATGGATATTTTACCACCAACACAACCACCAGACTGGAAGTAGAGGTGTCAAATAATACTGGCTTAATTCTTAGAGAATTTCTAATGACTGATACTATTCCTATCCAGAAGTGTCTAAAGCAAGCCTTACAAACATTCAAGAAATCATGGCAACATCCTTCTTTTCAAAGATAGCCACCTGTCCAGCTTCCTGACTTCACAAAAGCCAGTTGCACAAAATTTTTACATTTACAATACAAATTTTTACATTTACAAATGCTATATTTTTCTTGAAAATATCATAATTTTGGATTTTAGCAAGTTCTCCATTTAGATGACAACTTTAAATTCCTAACATGCTTCGAGCTGTGAATGTTCAATGACCTAAACATGGAACAAAATATGTGTATATAAACACCACAGTAAATTCATGTTATCAGTGTTATTATCAGTTTTCCATTCACAATGCACTTGACACACTAATAGCAAACCAGCAGGCTTGGTTACAAACTTGCTTCTGGTGCCTTGTTTCCTTCCTACGTATGGCAGCAGAATAAGAGGTTCTTCAACCACAAATGGAACTGCTGTAAATAAAAGAGCCCTATCAGTCTGAGCTGATAGAGATGCTGGAAGAAGATTTGTTAGGTGTTAATTGTGTTGCTCACTTGGGTGAGTGGGTACCAAAACCCCTTCAAATCAGCCCTCCCTTACTGCTACTACTTTGAGTTGTGTACCACAGTCATTGTGTTTCAGGAAAAATCTGTCTAAGTGGAATCTCCTACATTTGTCTCTGTTTATATGGCTAGTCTCCGTGGCTAGTGTGGAGTTTGGTAGACTCTGACTTTATGAGAGTTTATTTAGGCTGCTGCCTTCTTGATTTCCATACACACTGCATGAAAAGCTATCCAAACCCAAATATTTAACTGGACTTCTGGGTTTATGTTCAATGTTTGGAGCTTTAATATTGATGGATGCTGTGACTGTGAAGGTGGTACTTGCGCTGCAAATATTAGATGCTCTTGATTGTATTTTTGATGTCAGTCTTAATGACTTGTTCTATTTCTCATCAAACTATTGAGAAAACCAAGAAGATTTCTTCCTATGAAGAGGAAGATTTTTGCTACACAATCTCTTCAACATTTTATAAAGACTCAGTATTTCCTATTCACAGTAGGATTCCTGTTACCTTTAAGCAAAGGAGCTGTGTTCACAAAAGAGATGAACGTATTTTTATATTTATATATATATAACCTTTTGAATAGAATCTAGTGGGTAACATCAATACCCAGAAGATATTCAGAATACCCCACTGGAAAGGTTCTGAGAAGGAATACAGTACAATAACAAAAAAGCCCTGATGGTCCGGTCAGCGTGAAGATTATCAAAGGAGCAGTAATAGTTCACCATGAGTAAGACATTCCATTTCTAAAGACATCTGGTCATGCTGAAACAGATCTGCAAATCCTGTTGCAGGGCTGCTCGGAAAGTAGCATCTCCTATTTCATTACATTGGCCTATGATGACAGAGGCATATGTTGGTGGTGTACAGTAGAAGTTGTGACTCTGCACCAGTATTCCATTATACTTTATTGCTGTGTGACAAATGACAAAAAGTCATCTGACATGGAAGTGCATATGAAGCAAACGCATGTCATTGAATTCCTCCATACAGGTAAAATGGCACCCATTGACATTCATTGACATTTGCTGAATATTTATACAGACCAAACAGTGGATGTGAGCACTGTTGTGAGGCGGTGGGTGGTGCAGCAGTGGTGACAGTGATGTGAAAGACAATCCACGTTCCGGAGAGCC